AGTTCCATTTTTTAAATTATATTTATAAAAATATGAAATTTACATAAACATTTACAATCTAGTAATTATAATTACATACATTTCCATTATAACTTTTACATTAATTTTCGCATTTTAAAACCATGAAATAAATATTTTTGATTTTTTTTCGTTATTCAAGATTTCAGTTGCATCTCTTCATTTTTATATGTAGGATTAGTTATGGACTTCTGTTAAATAAAATGACAAATCGGGTTTCATAGATAGTCTACATGATGCTTTACTAAAATTAATTGAATGTCATTTAAAAACTTATTTTTTAGAGGACTGAAAATCATAAGTCATATTTTGAAAAATTCATATTTTTAACTTAATATTTAAGAAAAGAATAATTTTTTTCGAATATTTTTATGTTTTTCGGTTTCAGTATTGAATTAGCTTTCATTTGTATAATAAAATAATTTATACTAAATAATTTAAAATAAAATAAAATTCTAATATAGTTTAATTTTTTATCAAGTGAATTTAGATCACTGATTTTCAGACCTATTTGTTGATTCATGATCATTTTTAAAGCAAATACATAATTTAATTATATCTTTCCATTGTTCATATAAATATTTGAACGCGATTCTTATCTTTATAATTTTTCTATTAATATTTTTATAAAATTTCTAACTAATGTTTCAATAATGTAATTACAATATACAATATAATTTATATATCCAAAATGATTTTTTCCTAAGTATACATATTTTGCAATAATCTATTTTTTTGATATTTTTCACGCAATTGATTAATTACATATTTAAATTAATAATATAGATTTCATAACATCGATCTTATAATTATTGAATTTTATTCTTCATTACACGTTTTAATCGTCAATCTAATTTTCTATTTTTTTATTTATTCTATCATATAATGAAATTGTACTATTATTTTGTTTTTACTATTATGCATTATTTTACAGTCAATTATATGTTTCTCATTATAAGGTACAAATGTAATCTTCATAGATTCACATTATGAAGATGATATAAATACGTGTATAAAAATACAAAATACATAATAAAAAATTCATTACGATGGATGATGATTCACATTACGAAAATGAAAAAAACTCACTTATTGAAACTATTCTGTAAAAAAGGATCGTTAATAATTTGTTGTAGTTTTTGAATTATACTTGAGCAATCCAATCGTTTAAACAATTATAATTTAAATTTTTTCTTCGATTATATAATCGACTATTATTTGATCAAAAATGACTTTGTAGTTATCAAATGTCTATATCATTATAACTAATCTTTATAATATATGGTATGCACATATTTACAATAGAAAATTTTACGAATAACGATCACTTTTATAAAATATGGCAGATTTTCTACCATTATTATTGTTATAAGTAAGTAATTAATTCCAAAATGAATTTCGATTTATAAAAGAATCGATAATAGCATCAATACTAATAATAATAGCAATATCAATGGCAGTGGTAGTAGCAGTCATAGTAATAATTTTAACTTTGAAAACTACATATCACGAAATTAAATTTCCATTATTTTTAAAGTATTTTGAAATACAATCTATAAATTATAATTCACATTTTACATGGTTATCGTGTTTAATTAAGTATTTAAATAAATAAAAACCAACATAAATTATTTTATACTTTTATACTTATAAAAAATATTTATAAAAATTTCGAAAAAATTAAATGTTTTGAAACTATATTTATATTTAATTATGCTTAATTTGCATTTTTTGTTATTTTCAATTCTTTACATTGTTAATCTATCAGAATCGAAAAAAATAATTTCATTGAAATAAATATAAAATATCGAATTTAATAAAAATCTGTAGAGAGAATGAAAATTTTCTGAAAGATTATTTCATTCGATGCTATTATACAATTCTTATATGTATTTATGTATATAAAATATACATATTTGGTAACTTGTAAGAAATTGTGTTCATTGATACGAAACGCTATAACGTATAAACGTATTATAATTCTTCTAGAAAAATTTATGTAAGCCTCTATATCGTTACTGTTGTTGGTCCTTTCGGTTTAATCATCATCGTAGCACGTTTCAAAGTATAATCCCAACCTCTCCAGCGGAACCATACGATACCTTTGAAAAGAGAATTTTTTATTGAATAGATTAAATTGTGAACAAGTAAATATAAATAAATATACATGCATATATATCACCTTGTCGAGCAGTTAAATCCTGAGGATCATTCAAATAAAGACCATTTAATCCTCGTCCACAAGATTTCCACCACCAGCCACCTTTCAACATGGAAGCACAATTCAACGATGATCTATCATTATCCCTACAAAATGAGATTTCGATTCAATATAGTCCTTCTAAATATATATTTATGTTTATATCACGTTTCTTTTAAAATACATGTTATATATCTATTTAATTATTTTTTGTATACAATTTGCTTTGATATAATTCACGATTTTTACAATTGCTATGTATAAATTAAAGTTCAAATTAATAATAATAAATAAATAAATAAATATAAATAAATGAAATAACTCAAAAAATAGCCGATTATATATGATATAATATTTTTATATGACACAATATTACATGTAATTATATTTAAATTCATATATAACTTTACAAATTATATTATTCAACAAATGAAAAAGAATTATTACCTATTATATGTGGAGAAGGGACTATTGTTTGAACCATACCAAGGATCATTCAATGAATCACCGGCATTTCCATCATAACCATCAATTTCTAATTTGTAATATTCTGCTTCTGAATAAATTTTGAAGTGAGAATATTGCGCATATCTATAAAAAAATATATATATATTTATACAGAAACATTCGAAAATGTAATTATTAAAATTGAACAGATTTAAATATTTCTCAAATATATCGAAATAAAAGCTTAAATAAAATCAATAGTTCAGTTGCTATTGTTATTTTTACCTTTTGTTACCTTCAAAATCTTCAAGTTCTACTCTGAGCATGTAATCTTCGTTATTCGTTAACATATATATATTTTCATTGCCAAGCCAGAACTCTCGAGCAGGATCACCAAAACCATTTTTATAATCCGCCCAATCTCGATTGAAATTTTCTCTTGGCTCTCCAAAATCATCTCTTCTTTGAATGACCTATGCAAAAAAAAATTAATGAAAATTGTTTTTAATGAAAATTGATGTTAAATAGAATTTCTGAAAGATTGAAGAAAATAAATGGAAAGGAATATATTCCAATTATTATTGGAATGATTTATTATATATTTCATTATAATTTCAAGAAATTGAATTGTACATCACGAAACATGTTAAAAAAAATGTTTAAATGAATTGCTTACTGTCCAACCTCCTTCAGCAATATCTTGTTCACAATAAACCTTGAGAAACCAGTAAGTTGTTCCGCGAATTTGAAGGTAATAAACACCGCTATCTCTCATTCCTGCATTTAATAAATCAACGCACGAGTAACCCTATAACATTGAACAAGATATGATACATACATAATGTATATTGTATATATTAAATATTGACGGAAAAAATTTTTTCTTCTTAGATTTTTCATTATAAATAAGTATTATCATTATATTAAATCATTAATTTTTCATAAGAATTCCTATATATTTAATTTTTATATTTTGTAATTGTATTGTGAAAAATATATCTGTAATTGAAAATATTATAAGTGAAATAAATAATTTAAATAATAAATTTAAGTATCTGTAAAAAAAATGATAATAGAATCATCATTATTTAATAAGTACATATAATCCTACTACAAAAATTCATCATTAATTGTATTTCAACAATACATGAATATGTGAATTGACAAATGATATATACAATAACTTTTATATGCTATTCACAGTTTGAGACAACTAATTATGAAAAAACTATAAAATGATTAATGAAATCCCCAAAACATATATATAATCAATTTACATAATAAATTTTCAACCATGAACAATATATATGCAACATAAATGTTGATCATATATATTTATATGTTATAAGCATTTTCTTAAGCATTTTTTCTTTCATTCCTATTAATATAATATATTTATCAATAATGGAATAAATTCCTGTTTTCTTTACCTTAACATCTTTGTAACTAAGAAATCCATCTGTGTTAAATGTTGAATTTGCTGGACTTGGTTTGTTTTTGACACTTGGAAATATAACTCCACGATTTTTGGACGAGGATCGTTGTGAACTCGAAGGTGACGATATTCCAGGATTGGCAGTAGAATTAAAGAAATTTGCAAAACCAGTAACATTAGTCGAATTGTTGAAATTATTGAGCGACATGGTATTCGACGAAGTCGAGGAAGAAATGGACATCGACACCGATGAAACGATCGTTGTTGGATTCACTGGTGGTACGGTTGTTTCTCCTGGGATGTCATCGGTGAGACCAACGTATCTGAAAAAATTTATTCTTCGTTAAAGATCGATGTCATATTAGTGAGTAATAGAATTTTATTATATACGAAGAAAACCTGTTCGAATCATATTCAACCAGACGATCGATCGTAGGATCGAGAAGCAATTCTGCAGGAATTGGACGCTGGGCAAAATTAGCAACATCATCCTCCTGCTTCCGCAATCTATTCTCAACTCCTTCCAAATTTTCAATAATCTTGTTTGTTTTCAATCTTAAATCCGTATGAATTTCATTAATCGCTCTTTCCTGTCTTTGTGTTTGCGTAAGTAATTCATCAGATTTTGGTAAAAGATCGTCCACGGAACTTTTTGTACCAACCTGTTGACAAAAATATTCTTATGAGAATTGAATTTGAACGAATTTGAAATATAAATATAAAGTACAAATTTTGAAATATGAATAAAAATTTTTTTTAAAAAATTCAAAAAATAAAAATCAATGAACTCACAACAATGTCACGTGACAGATTTAAAATAATAGCATAACGTGCAATTACGTCATATTTGTACGTACGTTCAAAGTTCGCATAATATTTTAAAATCCAATAATTTATGAGATCCATGTCCTTGATTTTCGATTATTCGAAACAAAATGTATGTAAAATGTATGATCGAATTAAAATAAATAATTAAATTTTAACTTACTACAATATTCCAAACTTCGTCCATTTTTTCCGAAACGGTCAACATTGGATACATTTGCTCGACGAGTCGATCTATTTTACTTTGCTTTGGAGGTGGTTCGGTAGTTGTCGTTGTTGTGATGTTGAACGGTGACCGAGTATTAGTAGTGCCTCTTACTAATATCGCATCGTGCACATCTGTCATCATGTTATAAATGGTTCCCAAACGATCAGACACTAAATTGACGTGGAATTGTAATTTCCTGTCCATATTATTGGTCGCTTGCCTTAAATTTTCTATCTCGATCGTAATGTGATTTATTATTTCGTTGCTCATCGCTTTTGTTATTTCAATTACACTCATGCTAATCGGCTTCTTTTCACTGGCTTCAGCATTTATGTCGTCATTTTGTAAAAAATTATTATCCAACTGGTGTTTCAAATCGATCAATTTATTATCTATGTCCGATACCTTTTGATCGAGCGACAATAATTTTTCCCCAAGAGTTTCCGACGATGGATTCTCTCGTTTTTGATGAATCGATTGCAATTTCGAACCTATTTTACCGAATAGATTTAAATTTATATATATATATATAATAAACTTGAATAATGAAAGATAAATACAAAGGAAGAAAAGAAGCAGAAGCATTAGCAAGAAGATAAAAGTGAGAAGGAAAAAGATGAAGAGAAATAGGAAAAAAGAAAAATATAGGGAAAACAGGATTGTATATAGGCATGTACATGTATGTATATCTATAAACATAATAGATAATATAAATGAAAAAAAATTAACTATTAATTTATATAGGATAATTCACAAATACATGTCCATACGCGATGAATTTATATAACAAAATAGATAAAAAAAATAATTAAATATATAAATGTACTTCTTATATATCTTAGTTTTTAAATTGTGGATAATTAAAGAAAATATTTGAACTATTTGCCTTGTGTCTCAATACATGCTAAAACACGCCTTTATTGAACATTCACTTGAACATTCTACGTATTCTTTGAATAGTTTCAAATCCATTTTAAAACATTTCTCCTTTAAATCCTATTTTATATCACATATGTTGTTCACTTAAACAATACATTTTAAATGTCTTAAAAAATAAAAATTTAAAAAGATCAGATTATAATATTGATCATATTTATCCATTTTACTTAGTCCATAATTTATAAATTAAGGTTATGTACATCATAGGATTATTTTTAATATATAGATTCTAAAGTAGGGATATATTTGATATATAGATTGAACAGCAACTTTTGTTTATTATTGATAAATATTTTAATAATCAATTGTATGTTATTTATATTATTTATATATTTCATTATCATTGCGTATACATACATACCACTTCTAATTTCACTGTCGTTTTTATCATCGATCGTTCTTGCCGAAAATGCAGATTCAGTTGAAGAAAATTCAATTGTATGAGAATTGAAAAGCTTTAGATCTAATGTTCTTAACTTCGTAATAACCGCATCAGTTTTATCAATATTATCATTGACACGTGAATCCAAAGCTTCCACTCTTCTCATCAAATGTTCTACCGCCTTATCCAAGTTTTCGATTCGTTGTAATTTCGATTCCAATGTCGAAACTATTACTTCGAAAACATTGAAGAGGTATTGCTCTCTGGAAACAAATTATAAGGGTAATGTAACGATCCATGATAATGAAATACACTTTCATTTCAATTAAAAACTTTTTTATTTAAATTAAAAATTAAAAAACAGAACGAATAAAGATTTATATTATTGAGATAATATATATTTTTTTTACATTATTCATATTATTAATAATCTTATATTGTATCTATATTATATCATCTATTTTTATCTATATTTCGTTAGCATTTTTATTTCAACTACAAGTTGTTTGTTATTTTTTCGATTTTAAATTGTATATAATCAAAAAGACGGCACAATATACACAATGAGTGTCTATAGACATCGATGTATGTATGTATAAGTATTTAAGTACTACTTACTTGCGTGGTGGACCAGAAGTGAAAGTGTACTTTTTTTAATCGGTTACAGAGTTCGTATCACGAATCTCGACACGTTGCTTCAGATACATTCGCTTTTTGAAAATCATTTATTACAAAAAAAAAAAAAAAAAAAAAAAAAAAAAAAAAAAAACTTTT